ACTTTTTGTTTATTTAAATGGTTCATTATATTTTATATTGTAGTCCTTTAAATTTATAAATTCATCAATGCATAAACTTTTATAAATTCAATGTAAAGGAACATCATTTTGGTAATAATAAATTAGGTCTTCATATTTTTATAATAAAACTGTAAACTTTAATATTTCAAATCAGATATATATTTAATCTCTAATTTGAAATATTAAAATTTACAATTTTATTATAAAGATATGGAGACCTAATTTATTATTACCAAAATGCTGTATAAATAAACAAAAAGAATATGAACAAAGCTTTATTTGATTTTATTATTTTTGCTGATTTTTTTACAATTCGAAACTTGATTGATTAAACAGTCATCATTTCAAATATTCTATAAATACATATGTATTTATATTTAATACATTTGCTTGATAAGTTTGTATACAAACGAGCTTTCTGATGAGAATGAGCTTTATTAGCACTTTAAATTTAAAATTGATTTTAGGGAGAATAATCTTTATGTATTCGAAACGATAATTATTCAATCAATCAAGTTTCGAATTGTAAAAATTCCAACAAATCTAATAAAATTAAATAGAGCTTTTTTGATATTCTTATTGTTTATTTAATTGGTTTATTATATATTATGAACACGTAGTTTACCAATACATAAGCTTTTATGTATTATACGCATTTTGGTAAAAATAAATTACGTTTTAACATTTTTATAATAGAACTGTCAATTTTAATATATTGTATTATAAAAATATTTGAATGACAAGTTCGTAATACAAACGAGCTTTCTGACAAGCATGTGCTTTATTAGCGCTTTAAATTTGAAATCGATTTTAGGCAAAATGTATTATGTATTTATAGGAAAATTATAAAAATAATAAATTAGTCTTTAAATCTCAGAAAATACCAACAAAGATAATAAAATTAATAAAATTATATACATTTAATGATAATTAAGGAGTTAGCGTAGCAGTATAACTTGGAAGTTTTAGATTGCCTTGATTGTGTATTTGTTGGATAATTAGGATAATTATTGTAGAAAATACTAATTAATATAATATGATACAACAAACAACATACTTGAACTACAAGTATTATTATAGTTGTTTATCAATCTGCGACTTAGTGCATTTATCTTCTCAAGGATCTTGAATTGAAGATGATTTCGAATATCAAGCTCAAGTATTGTTGATTTTGTAAATTTCAGTACGTAGTTATATATTTTGTATTATAATGCTCGAATTATCGTTTTATGTAAAATATACACAGAGTTAACGTAAATATAAAAACCCTTAGATCAAAAATATGTTTTTACTTTAGCAAGTACAAGCACGTGCGCAAATATTATAAATTCTTAGCTTGTTTACAAGTTTTCTCAAGAGCACCATTAGAGGAAGATTTTAACTGGAAAATATCTCAAAGTCATAATTTCCTCTATGCTATACGGCGTCATTTGCAATATCTTGTTTATATTTTTCTGCATCGTTATCCAAGCTTATTAGTTCTATTGATCTCTCGACAGACTCTTCAATGTTTAAAATTTAATCCTAATCCGATCGTGAAATATATGCTCTATTTTGAGATTTAAGCATGCTATAAACCCGACATCGGGCCCATGGAGTCTGTATTACAGATTTAGCTATTATTAATTAATTTGCTTCTTACGCTCCGTGAACAACCATCTATGTATTAACGAGTTTTGCTGCCAGGATTTGCTTTATGGATGCGTAGAGAGTAAAATCTAATACTTAACTATATCTATATTAATATAAGGTAAAAGATTATATAGGATTTTGTATGTAAAGGTTCAATACCAAACGTTTTACTATCGGTAAATGTAAACTAATGATTTTAGTTAGTTATTCAAATCCTAATAGAAACTCGAAATCCTAATGGAAGTTATTGAATAATAATGCACTAGTAAAATTGTAAAGTGATTTATTATTACCATTACGTTGATAAATCATACTTCTAATAATACTTTTTACCTTCCCGTAGGATAAGTTATTTTAAGTGTCTAAAAATCAAAATTGAAAATTTATGCATATCTTCACGTTTTGAAGGTTTCTGAACATTTTGGCATACTTTAAAAAAAAATGATGTGTGTGTATGTAAGTGTGGATACAATCAATAACTAACTGATTTTAGTTAGTTATTCAAATCCTAATCGAAACTCGAATTCCTAATGGAAGGTATTGAATAATAATGCACTAGTAAAATTGTAAAGTAATTTATTATTAGCTATTAACTATGTTGATAGTCCAAAAATCAAAATTGAAAATTTTTGAATATATTCACGTTTTGAAGGTTTCTGAACATTTTGGAATACTTTAGAATACATAGATGTGTGTGTATGTATGGATAGATACAATTATTCGTCCACGTTTGAGTGATTCAAAAAACATTCGATTTCTATTGATAAAAAGATGTGCTAATTAGATTTGGGCAAAAGTCGGTCCAGCCGTTTTGGAGTTACGGAGCAAAGTGTGCAGAAAATAGATATCGAATTTTTGAGAGAACGGAGCATCCGATTTGAATGATCCAAAATGCATTCAATTCGTAATGATGCGGAGAAGTCGTGATTAGTTTTTGCAAAGACAAAGACAGGTCCAGCTGTTTCCGAGATACGGAGCTAAATGTGCAAAAAATGGTAGTTTTTGAGAAAAATAAGCATCCGATTTGATTTAAGGGACTTTCTGCTTAAATTGACCAAACGATTATTTTTGGGGAAAAAATAAATTTTGATTTTTTTTTAATTTCCAAGAAAAATTCTTTTGAATATCGTATATACTTCGAATTTTCAAAATTTTAATTTGGTACGGAAAGTTCCAGCAATTTGCCTCAAGGCACGATACCATACGCCCCTAGTGTATTTTAATTTTAAAAAATATTCATATAAACTCTAATAATTCACACAGGGTTGATACATGTTACTTCAGTATATGTTTCTTCATTTAAACTTTGAATCTCACAAACCTTTAAAACAAATGCCTCTCTAGGTCGTTCTATTGTATAAACAAATATTAAAATATTATCTCAACCCGCACTAAATTTGCTGAATATTTATTGCTTTCTAGAGAATTTCATGTCGTGTAATAATGAATAGAATCAGACTAATAAATTATGATCTATATGTAAAAACTAGTTGGGTGTATAGCATCGTGCCTTAAGGCAAATTGCTGGAACTTCCCTACCGTAACGAAATGCTCGAAGAATATTGACTGCTTTGAAATAGATTATTATTAATACTGTAACATTGTCTAATATGTATAAGAATTATATAAACTGAATTGCAAAGTTGAAATTATTTGTTCAAAGTATATTAGAACTTTAGTCAGAATTAAAAATAAAATGTGAATAATTTTAGATATACAAAAAAAATTTTTTTTTGAAAAAAAAAGTTGAAACACTTTTTTTTCTAAAATCAATTATTTTGTTGAGACAAGCAGAAAGTTCTTTGAATCATTTAAATCGGACGCTTAGTTCTCTCAAAAACTACCGTTTTTTGCACATTTAGCTCTTTATCTCCGTATCTGCTAGACCTGCCTTTGCCAAAAACTAATCAGCTCATCTCCCTATCAATAGGAATCGAATGTTTTTTGAACCATTCAAATCGGTTGATCCGTGCGCCCGAAAACGTGACTGGAAAGTTGTATCCATACATACATACACACACACATCCATTTTTTCTGAGGTATGCCAAAATGTTCAGAAACCTTCAAAACGTTAACAAATGTAAAAATTTTCAATTTCGATTTTCAGCCCATTACAATAACTTACCCTACGGGAAGTTAATAAAATGGTTTTCGAAAGTGACTAATAAAGTAATAAACAGAATTTATTATGATTTTTACACATATTCGGTAAAAATATTTTTCATAAATATTTGCATTTTTGACTATTTCATATTTTTATTTCGGATAGCCATTTATTTGAATAGAGTACGTTATATTGGATTAATTATAAAAATTTTATCTAATTATTTTTTGTAGTATTATTATCAGAATGCCAATTCTCCATGTCTTGCAATCTTCTCCTAGTGCAATATTCAAATCTAAAATTTATGAAATTGTCTACATTTTGTATTCTATGATAAATAAGGTACAAGCGGCCTTGTTGATGATGAACACAATGAAGCAACACGTGCTTTACATGGAATGACATTTACATTTGTATTGTTGCCGAAGTTTATATGAAATATGAAATAATCTAGAAATAGATAGTTCATCTTTTGTACTAAATGCTCCGCATGTGTCTATTAAAGAATGCATTCATCTGTTTGTGACAATTTTTTATGAAATAATAATAAAACCTACCTAGCTACAGGTACTAGTACCTTATAATGATCTATAAAAATTACTAAAAAAATATGAAATAAAATAACTCATTGTTAAATGAGTGTACATAGAATCGTGAAATTGTATAATGAAGAGCTACCAAATGACCTGCTATAAATTAATAAATATTTCAATAGTACGCTGGGCATCAATGAAGCTCTCGTAGTTCAGTCGTTAGAAAGATTTTATGTGATGTACAATAAAATAGATCAAATTTAGTTTCGAATCCATTTGCTTGCATATTTTGCTTATTCAGCATTAAAATACTTAATATTAATGAAATATGAAACGCATATTTAAAATAATTGTAATTCATTCATATGCAAGTTGTTATATTAAATCTTCCATTACAAATCATGCGTTATTACAGCAACTCAAAAGAGTAAACTTTACATAGTTTTTAGTTTTGAGGGAAAATCTTATTAGAAGTCGTTCCTTAGAATTTACTTTCAGCAGAGATCAAGGAGCATACACTAACTTCGCCTCAACTTTCAAAATTTGAAAATTACTTCAACTCTACAAATGTAACTTACATAGAACTCTGTTTCCACAACTTATGTGGAACTATCTCATATTAAACTAGACATCGTAGATTGGAATACAATTGTTTAAATGTCACATGCATATACACAAAATTTTTGTTATAATGTAAATATAGTACAAACCTTTCACTACCATTTGTTTTCCAAAGTGTCCTCTGGGATGTAGCATCGTTCAATGGCCTTTTAGTAGAATATCCTCCGCCTAATCTGAAAGTCATTTATATTTAAACTATTAGTAAATTACATAACGAATGATATATAGGCAGCATATAACTATCAGAGAATTCATTTGTCAAGATTATATTACAATTCTTGAGAATCCTTAGATATGCCGAACTATATGTTACAGTAAGTTTGAATGGACTTAATACTGGTTATTAATTAAAGAGATTTTCACCTCGTTGGTAATTGTAATAATACAGAACATGATTAATTAATTAAATTTCACCAGATGAATATCAAATAAAGCGTATTATAATGTAAATAATTTTGTAATATAAATTTACATAATTATTCTAAGCATTACATTACAATTACATTTGTGGGTAATGAATTTTTAGAAGCGTTGTTATTAACTCTGGTCAATTCCATTGATATTACAATTCATTCAGAGAGATAGAATTTATTTATACAAATAAATATAATAAACATAGAATATTTTATTTCCATATATCTATATGAACATAAAAGAACTATAAAACTTGGCATGAAACTTTATAACCGTGAAATGCATTCTTGTTATGCAATAATGCAATGAAATCTCTATCATTTACGGACTTTTAACTCAAAGTTTCCCAATAGATAAATTAAAAACTTTTATACTATATATATATATATATATATATATATATATATATATATATATCAATTATGAGTTTTGGTCATATATTTTTTTCTGCAAAGGTGCTATGTCGGTTCTGAACATTCTTTTACGAGCAAAAAACTATATTCGCTGCGGTAATATGAGCCACGTTTTAATTTTTATAAATTAGTATGCTATGGAAATTTCATTCATATCAGATATTATTTTAATTAATAGTTTTAATTGAAAATTAAATAAAAATTCATATTATGAATACCTTCGGAATAATTCTGCTTGTGGATGCTCGGCAGCAAACCTTGCTTTTTTGCGAAGTAATCTCACCTGGGAAAAATAAATAGAGATTATTAGATAATCGTATCAACCACTTATTGATCTTACATTAGAAAATATCAAATATAATATATCAAGATATAATCGTACTGTAAATAAATTTCATCCCATTCATTTAATGGACTAAATCAAATATTTGTTTATGCATATATGTATTTATTTATTCATAAGCTAGTCATAATAATAATAAATGTAACTTTTATTGGGAAAAAAATTAGAATGGAACTTCTTGCAAAAACAAAATATTTCAAGCATAGTTTGTTTCGAAAGTTAGAAAGCTAAATTATAAAGAAACGACTTCTTCGAAAAATTAAAAGTATTTATATAAATCTGAATTATTAACTGAAAATTTTTGTTGATTACTGATTTTATTTCGAAGCTTACTCAACATAGTAATTATAACTAATGAATTTTTTTTTATTACGTATGACCTTTTGACACAAAATTTTACAATTAGAAATAAATGCACTACAATGCTTAGAACTACATTTTAAGAAATATAAGATTCAAATGAACAATTTTATCATCTGGTGTAATACTATATGATATGATTATTAAATAATTTAAAAAAATATATAGTATCAATATTTTACCGTGAGTCCATAAGCTGCCACCATGACCACCATAGGGGCATAAAATGCAACGATGGAGCCCAAAACAAAGAAAGCTCTGTTGTTGATGACACATTGGTAAGGTTCGGGCATTATATTTCTTGAATCTGCAGCCCCAAGGGCTGTTATTGAAGATGATACCAAAGCTGCTAAGCACCAAGCTATACAAATCTGAAAAATAATAAAAAAATCAGTTGAAAATTTGATTTTGAGCATTCATCGCACCATCAACACTTGTACTCATACATAGATCATACAACTATCATAGTCGATATGTTCATGTGCCACTTGAGGAAAATTCACAGATCATGAGGAATTATTTTTATATGTTTAATTTTGTTTGATTATACAATATATGAACAATTAATTACCTTTATTAATGCAGCTCGTTTTGTAGCTTTATGTCTAGTAGCTAAGGGATTTCTTACTCCAAGATATCTACTCAAGCTAATAAAGCACATGTGCAGAATGCTTGAAGAGCACGCCAGCACATCGCACGTTACGTAAATATTGCACCAGGCCAGTCCGAATGGCCAATAACCTGAAAAAGAAATTTTAATTATATATATAATATATATATATATATATATATATATATATATATGTGTGTGTGTGTGTATTTACACAAGCACTGTCAACATATATTTTATACTCTACCATATATTAATTTTGTCAGAAGCAGTTACAAATAATTTCTAAACATTTGTATATTAAAGTTCTGTATGCTCATGCCAATATGCTTCTAACATAAACTAGTATTACTTTAATTAACTGACTTGAGATAATGTTTGAATTTAAGTTCATCTAATAAATATGACGGAGTATATGATCTAAGATGGATCAGAGTTGTGATTAAATTTTAATTGAAAAACTGCATAATAACTTTTTATATGTTACAGTTTTATTGTAATTTGCTCTTATCAAAGTATTTTTGAATTCAAGTGTTCTAATTTCGCAAACGAACGTAACAAATAACGCACTAAACCAAGAACAAAATAAGACAATAACGTTTACGTTATACATTCTTTCATAAAAGTCAGACATTCGCACATAATAAACTTTTTCTTTATATTTCCAGCGGACTTGTTCTGTTTATTTTTATCTTTTCATAGATCTTATTATATGATTCGCTCACGTCAGAAAATTACCAAACTTTAGAATTGTCTCATTGTCGCGTATTATCGTCGTCTGTGTCAAGGCATATCATAAAGAATATCATTTATTAGCATTTTGATAGGCCTTTCGCAAAACGAAATGAACAAAGTACATTATGTGCCCCGACACCGTAACGCCGTTCGAGGGCTGCCGAGAGAAAAATTGAATTGCGATTGAAAACAACCATGAGATTATTTAACTAAAGTGAACTGAGAAATCTTTTGATTAAAAACTTGAATAAACCAATATTTTTTAGTTTGTTTTGATGTGGAACTTGTATCTTTGCATGCATTTCGATTAAAGCTCTACAATGATTTCTATAGATATATATAGATTGGAAAATTGTAACATATATAAATAACAAATGAAAATAGGGGATGCATTTTCTCATTTATGTACTCATCACCTAAGGTATAAAAAATAAGACTTAAATATTAATTCATCTTATTTTAATAAATGAAAAAGAATTTCGAAAAATGAAAAGTTCAATACGGTGGAGAGATCTTGTACTTTTGTAAGGAAATTGCGCGTATAAGAAATTTCTAGAAGACTCAACAGTTTAGTAAATAATATCTTTTTGCAATCATTAGAATTAAATAATATTTCCATATTTCTGTATATTGAAGTCAACATATTAGGTTTGTTACATTTTAAATAAAACTTTTTTTGCCTAAATTGTTTTCACATCGATATTAACCCGACCTGACCAAAGCATCTTATATATAAGTGCGATTCTAATGCTTGCTTCTTTGAGATATTTGAAATTGATAATTTCATTTTATTTAATACAAGTTTGCGTAAATTTATAATTTTGTGTATGTAAATTAACCATTATTAAAAAAAAAACTGTTTTTTATACTACAAAATACTACTAGAACCATATTGATATAAATGCATCAATTTTAATAAAGTTGGCATGAGAGTATTTTAAGTTATATATAAATATTTGTATTAAATTTAAAATTGTTATCAAAAAATATATATCGTAAATATTACTAATTTGGCTGTTAATTACTGCAAATTTACTCAATTTACTTTATTAAAAATATTTTTCATGCCATGAAAGTTTCTTTCTACTTTTCTGAAATTTTACTTATAAAAAAGGTCCTCTCGACATGAAAAATTCAGAGTTAAAATAATGATGTGTGCCAGGATACGAGTTGCACAAAAACTTGGACAACCATTAGCGATAATTTTTTAAGGTCTATAAATATTAATACATATCAGATAGTTTTAGTGTTTTGTTTTTCAATATTTTGCTATTTAATTTATTTCTTTAATTCAATATTCAAAGCAGAACTTTTGTTTCACTTAATCAAAAATATTGATGTATCTATTAGGCGGTACACGGCGGGTGTTTGGTGTTCGTATTTATTAGAATGATGTATACGACCCTTCGGGGTGCCATAATACTATAACTTTACTCTACGGGGTATAGTTCACTCGGTATAGACTATTAAAGTTTTCGGGCAACATTTTTATTTCGTTTGCGAATGTATCATCACAATTTTGATCAATAGAACGAACTCGCTGAATAATGTGCTGCACTTTAGTTTTCACAGTGCGGGATATATCAAATTTGAAGAATATAATTTAAGTGTTAATTTAGCAATAAATCTTAGAAAATAATTATTTACTTTCCTTGAACATTCACAAATATTATAAATTAAATTCTGTCTGAAATTTGATGTAGTAGAGAAAGACATCGTTGCCATTGTTTCATTAAACGGGGGAAAATATGTGCTTGCCATTCGCTAACTATTTTGTGCCATGGTGCCTTTTACAAAAATGCATTTTTACAGACATTTAGAATGAGTTATTCCAAAATTTAATGTATATAAAGACATTTTTTTGTTTTTGCTTTACAAAATTCATACCTCAATTCTAAGCAGACATTATTTTTGTTCTATGGTTTAATTGAAACCTTCGGAGTTTTTTTTATTTTAATTTAGTTTTTACTTTATTTTATTTTTATATAATACTTTTATTGATATTATGCAAATACTATATTGATATTGATGCAAATACTTATATATGTATCTCATTATTGAGTTGAAATTGGTTAAAGGAAACGTTTATGGTTAATAATTCAATATCTGAGGTATTTAAAATATAAAAACCACATTACAAAATTTTATAAGAAATAATTAAATAAACTAACAATCTGACTAAAGCAACTAAAAACCAGATGCAGAGATATTTGAAGAAAAAATTGATATGTATTATATCTGGACATTTACAGAACGTTTTACCTCCAATGTTTTTAATTCTGAATCTACTTACATTACTTAGAAGTTTACTATTTAAACTATTTAAAATATAGCATAGTTAAGATATAATGTTCAAACTATGATGACTATAGTAAATATAAACTATACTATAACTATAGTAAATATAAACAGCTTTCCCGTGGCCTAATGGCGCTATGGATTTTAGTTCAGAAATTTAAGAAAAAAATTAAAACAGAATTTATTTGTGCTATTATAAAACTCTCCAGTTTTATTTTTATTCATTTTGTTCAGTATCTACTAATAGTATTGATGCATTTTTTGCTATCAAAACTATTTAAAATATAATTTAGTTTACTTATCATATCCAAACCAGAGGCATGACTATAGTAAATGAAAAAGATTTTCTCATAGCTTAGTGGTTAGAGCTATATACTTTGAAGCAGATATACCAGGTTTAATACCAGCATTTTATCAGGCTGCGGTGACATCAGGTTTACTCAGAAATATAATTTAACTGAACATTTCAAATTCTAACTCAAGACATTATTCACTTCTTCTATTAAATCGTTTTACATTATCTTTTACATGACAAAATAAAAAATGTTGTTAGGTGTAAACAACCCTCCGCTATAAATACTACTATAGCGAATAAAATAAACATTTTTGTGGTCTGGTGGTTAGAGCTATGGACTTCTAATTTGAGGTTTCAGGTTTGATGCTCGCTTCGGACAGCTTATTCAAGCGGCAGTGATATCAGTTTTCAATTGTAAATATAGATAGCAATATGTTTCCAGGTAAAAACAGCGTTTATGGGCATTGCAGCATCAATAAAAAATTACTGAAATTGTAATAATAATATTTTTATCACATAGACATAGGGTAATCGTTCGGGTTGCTATCTTTAAATTCTTCTAGTTCAAGACGTAGGACAGTTGATGGAACTCGTTAGGTTTCGTGGCCTAGTGGTTAAAGTTATGAACTTCAAATCAGAGGTTTCAGGTAATTCAAGCGACAGTGATAACAGTTTTCGCTTGTAAATATAGATAGCAATATGTTTCCAGGTGAAAACAGCGATTATGGGCATTGCAGCATCAATAAAAAAAATTACAGAAATTGTAATAATAATATTTTTACCACATAGACATAGGGCAATCGTTCGGCTTGCTATCTTTAAATCCTTCTAGTTCAAGACATAGGACAGTTGATGGAACTCGTTATGTTCTCATAGCTGTTAAAATTATATAAAAAACAATAATATTTATGAATAAAGAATAAATTCGATCACGTATGAATAAAAAGCGAAAAAAGAAATATGACAAAATATATACAGCATAACATGCATAATTTTTGTTCATCCCTAACAAAACAAATTTCACGAATAATCACCGTCCATTCTCTAAATAAACATCTCGAAAAATACGGTAACAAAATTATACAGAAAA